GAAGTTAGAGCAGTTGCAGGAATGAAGTTCATTCCTAGGGCTTATACCATTGGCCCAGAGACAGCTCACCTCAATTTCACCCCCTTTCTACCTTTCATCCCATATTCTCCCCACCTTGGAGTGCCCTCTATATGGGGAGGGGAGCCTGAGGATTACCTCCAAGTTGCCTCTTTCGGGGCATGTGTCATTAAGAATCATCTGGATTGACATCTGGCTCATAGTCTCAGGAGCTAGACATGGACAAGACAGACAGTGACAGGCCTGTCTCTTACAAATGGATTATTGGTCACTTTTTAATGCTATCCAGATCATTTTATCTAAATGAATTAAAAAATGTTGCAGCTAGGATGGGCCAGGAAGGATGTTTGGTTGGTTTTGTTTTTGGGTTTTTTTCCCTTCCAGTCCAGACTTCCCCAGCTGAGACTTGTTACTGTGACAGAGAAACATAATCACATTGTCCAGGGGCTTACAATTCAAGCCCTTTACAAACTGACTCTTCTGTTTTTAAAGCTGAAAACAGACCTCAAGTTTAAATTGGGTCTGATTGGCCCTGGCTTTGACTCCCACCAAAACAGGGTGGTCCTTTACACACAAAGCTTGAATGGCAATAAATTCAAACTAGCCATGATTTCCCTGGGCAAAAAGGGTCCTTAAAATGGGACAATGGGTTTATAAATCTGTAGGATCTCTCTCTTCCCCCCCCCCCGAAAAGAAAAAAAAAAAGTCTTTGTCCCTGAAGAAATTCAGCATCTGTTTTTTAACAGGTTTGAACTGAATTCAGACCCTGCCATCCCCAAAACCAGACACACATTCTAGTTCTGCAAGTTTAATTTAATTACTGTGCCTAAGATTTGTAGCAGGGGAGGAAATGGACATTTGGCAACACTTGAAAGAAGGTGATGTATCATATTTGGGTGGAAACCTGCACAGGAAAAGATCCCTTGGAAAATGGGTAATTACAACAAGTATTTGATGTCTGCTTGTATGTGGGCCAGAGAGATGTAATCCACATTATCTGGAGTTTGAAACATAACTCTATGTGAAATTAAAAGCTAATTGATCTTGTGCATTGACCAGAGGGTGCAATGCCCAAACTGCTATTTTTTTTATATCCACATATGTGCGTTTGCATGTGCGCGCGCATGCACACACACGCTTCTGTCCCTGGAGGCCTGTCATGACAGGTTACAGCAGTAGTTTTAGTGTGCTACATAGAGTTATCCTAGTGTTTTAGGTTTGGCCAGGAACTGCATTTAAATTAATGAATATGAACTTGGTCTTTAAATTGTTAAACTATTGGAGGAGTTTTATTAGGACATCCATTAAATGTCCTCTGAGCTGATCTTTTATGGCCATGACACTTCCAATCACTTCACTCACCATGTTCTAATGCAAGTACTCTGGGAATTGGTGTAATGATTTACCAGGCCTTTAGAGTCTGTGTTGCATTGGGTTGCAAACAGGTATGTGAAGCCCATTTCAGCAAAACAGCAGCTCTAGCAAATGTGTGGGCTCATTCTGGCCCCTGTATTACATGCTCCTCAAGGTCACCTGAACCAACACTTGGTTTCATTTCGTTCTGGAGAACTGAGAAAGAGGAATTTGCCTAAACACAGCTAGCTGTAAGTAGTTTTTGAGGCCTAGTACAACTCCCACCCTTTTCTCTGTCAGGAAATGACACAGACTGGAATGCAAAGCCTCCTTTCCTCCCCAGCTGACAATGTTACCTGGAGATAAGCAGGAAGCTCCTTTTGGTCTCCTATTGTCATTTGCTTAGTAAAGATTTCTCTTTGCTCTGGCATTGTGCCCCCTTGGATGCTCTGCATGTTTATTTGGAAGTCTTCTCTGTTGTAGGCTGCCTTTAGTCTCTGCCCTTGGTTCCCTGTCTGTAAAATCCAGCTGTCTTCATCCTGTTCATGCTAGCCTCTTCCTTGGTGCTTGGGGGTCCCTTGTAATTCACTAACCTGTTTTCTTAATTTACTTTTCTTCAAGTTCTTTGAAACTGGCCCAAAGGATTCTTGGCTGCATCTGGGGATATAGGTTTCTACACGACACCTTGACATAGAAATCGGGGAGTAAGACAGAGGCCCTTTGGCAACTGTGCAGGCAGAGGTGATTGCTATTCTGCAGTAGCT